AAGTACAGACATCCAGAATGTTCCTTGGAAGGGAGAATGACCAGATTTTGTCTCTCATACCTCAAATATATTATCAGGAAGGACCAGTCCCTGGAGAAGGCTATCATGTTCAGTAAAGTGGAAGTTTGGAGAAAAAGAAGAAGATCCTCAATGACTGGCATAGTGATGATCAGCAGTGGACTCAAACACAGCAACAATTGTGAAGTTGCAGCAGGACTGGGCAGTGTTTTGTTCTGTTGTGCATAGTGTCACTATGAGTCAGTACTGATTCAATGGCACCTAACAACAAGGGACAACTAGAAATAAGAGGGACCTGGTGTGGCACTGTGGGTTAATGCACTGGACTGAAAAGACATTTGAACCAACAAGGTTGGTGGTTCAAGCTCACCAGTCACTCCTTGGAAACCCTATACAGGGTCGCTGTGGGTTGAAACTGACTCGACGGCACTTAACAACAACAACTACTACCTAGTGTGGTGCTCTTGGTTAATGTACTGGACTGCAAGGTTGGTTTGAACCTTAAGGTTAGTAGTTTAAGCTCACCAGCTGCACCTTGGAAACCCTATACATGGTCACTATGAGTTAGAACCAATTCCATGGCACTTAACAACAACACAACAACTACCATCAAGAAAAAACAGCTGAAAGAGAGTGCATCACATGGATCTGGAGTACCTGCACCTCCTGGACCCAGGAAAGATTGATGACAAGGATTTCCCCCAGAGCCAGCAGCGAGAGAAAGCTTTGCCCTAGAGCCAGCACCCTGTATTCAGACTTCTACCCTTTGAAACTGTGAGAGAATAAATTTCAATTTTTCAACATCACCCACTTATGGTATTTCTGCTAAAGACACTAGATAACTAAGACACTATTACTCACAGTAATCTGTAGATTCAACACAATCCCAATCAAAATTCCAACAGCCGTCTTTACAGAAGAACCAATCCTTAACGTTACATGGATTGGCAAGAAGTCCCAAATAGTTGAAACAATGTTGAAAGAAAAGAATAAAGCATGAGGACTCATACTTCCTGCTTTTAAAACATATGGTGTCCCCCTGTGAACCCAGGTAGAGACTTGGTTGGCCAGCAGTATGGTAAGACCTGGGGACTCCTGGGCCCAGAGTCAGTGACATAGCCACAGAGGACTAGAGTGGAGAGTGAAGCATCAAGCTGATAAGAAGTGAGGGGATATACACAAGAACACCCACACTTGCAGATAATACCAACTTGACCTGACTTCAATGGCTGGATGATCAGAACTTGACTAGAAGAAGAAAGAAGAGGGGAAAAAAAAGAGTAATCTGATACAATCTGATGGACTTAGATACAGTAGCTCAAAAGAGGGAATAAATCTTTACAGGGAAGATCATTCCCACCCCCTCAGTACACATGGTAGACAGGGATGGGCAACCTGGGGGGCTACAAAGGCAAGAAGTGACTGGTTCACAAGTTTTCAAGAGTGAGCCTAGATCCAGAGGGCATGGAGGAAAGTAGACTCTCTACTGAGTAGTACCAATCTGTCTGGGCAGGGCTGATGAAAGAAGATGGGGATAGAACTCTTGTCGGACAATGGTGAATAATTGCTATCAGGACAGACTGTGAGGATCGGAAATGTAAAGGTAGATGTTTGGTAGCAAAAGGAAGGGAGTGGTTGACTTTACAGTCCAGGAGCAGAGGTCCCTGGGACCATTAGGGAGAAGAATGGAGTGTGCGACCCTACCCAGAGAAACAGTGATGCCAGAGATGGAGGCAGAGATAATGATGTGGAGAGATGGAGTGGCTAGGGACTCCAGAACCAGAGAGGGAGAGGGGCTGTGTGCTGATGACCGAGGGGCAGGTTTGCAGGGTATACCCTTTGGTTGCTTGGTGCTGCATGGAGGGGATTGTAATCATAGCAATGACACAATATATGATAGTATGAATGTAAAGCTAACGTTCTCCCATGTAAACGATCACATAAGTCACAATAAAAACTTTAAATATAGATGTGTGTGTGTGTGTGTGCGTGTGTGTAGTCCCAGTGTGGTGCTGTAGGATAAGCACTGGACTGTTGATCACAAGGTCAGCAGTTCAAACCCACCAGCCACTTTTGGAACCCTATATAGAGTCACTATGCATCAGAGCATACACAAAAATAAATTCAATACACATTACAAACCTAAATGTGCAAACTAAAACCATGAAATTCTTAGAAGAAAAAACAGAGGCAACGCTTGTCAGACCTGTCTTGATTATTTAATATAATAGTAAAAGCACAAACTGCAAAAGACAAAATAAATAAATGGGATCTCATAAAAATGAAAAACTTTTGTGGATCAAAAGACTGCCCAAGAAAAGTGAAAAGGCAAGCTACTGACTAGGAGAATATCTTCAGAAATCATACATCAGACAAGAATCTAATAACCAAAGTACATATAAAACTTCAACAACTTAACAATAAAATGACAAATAATCATAAAATGGAAAATGGATTTGAATAGACACTATAATAATAATAGACATTATAATAATCAGCACCCTTAAGGCAATATGACTTTTCCATCACTGTTAACCTCCTTCTTGCCCATGCTTGGTAATTACTAATAAACTTTGGACATTCAAATGACCATAAAAAGATGCTCAGTGCCCTTAACTATCAGAGAGATGCCATTATCCTCCCACTAGGATGGCTAAAGGAGCTCTGGTAGTGCATAGTGGTTACGAATCGGGCTGCTAACCTCAAGGTCGGCAGTTCGAAACTACCAGCCATTCCATGGGTGAAAGATAAGGCTTTCTACTCCCGTAAAGATTTACAGCCTCGGAAACCATGTGCAGTGTCACTATGAGTC